AAAAATAGGTTAGGGGGTTGAAAAAATAGGTTAGGGGGTTGAAAAAAGAGGGCGGGGGGTTGAAAAAATAGGTGGAGGTTGGAAAAATAGGTTCGGGGGGTTGGAAAAATAGGTGACCCAATTAAATTCATGACATAATCATGCCATAAAGAAATGGGCTGGAAGGGGACTTCCCACACAAAAGAGGTGGGCAGTGAAGATGAGATTGACATCATATGATGCTAGAATGAGTGTGTTGGGCTTGTTGCCGCCCCTTCGCGACGAAGGAAGTTTGACACAACAGTTCGAGGGCAGTGCATTCACATAATACCCTATGGTGCCTGTGTTTGTTTTGCCTTTTGCATGCCCGTGGTGCCAAGAGCGACCAGTTTGCCTACCATGTTGCACAGTTTAGATAACCCAAGCACAATTCACATCGACCGGTTCGGTGGCTAGTTGCTTTTGAAGATCAACTGTGTGCCGATCAGTGTTTTTGTGTGGCATTATCCTAAACATCCTTTGACCTATCAGACAGTAAATCTTATTCGCCACAGAACATTCCATCGGATTTCTCGGAGAAAATCCCTTTGTTGAAGTAGCTCTTGGGATGACCTGCTGCCCACCTAGGAATTCCAACGAGTGCTTGAGGCCAGGACACAGAACACCGTTGACGACCGAGATTTGGCCTGGTTTCCTTCCCCAACTTCCCCGCACCACCAGTTCAAGAAGCGCTGCCGGTACCATGACTTGCATTCATGTTTGGTTGGATCGACTAAAATTGTAGAGCCAGGCAACATTTACATGGTAATGTTATGTTCCACTTCCATGATCGTTTTAGGGAATGTAGACTGTTGACAATCTCCCATTTCTTCAAATCTCCCATTTTGGCAAAACCTCTCCATATGGGGCGTCTTATCCACATAGATCATGGATCAAAAGAATCGTTTCAGATTTTTCCTAAGGTCCTAAGGTACCTGGCCTTCCTTGATCTGGATCAAACATCTACGGGATGGAACGGGAATTCCGTTAAACATCATGAAACTCTAGTGGATTTGGTTGGAAAAAACAACAAATCTAGACCATACTGAGAGCATTCATGTTGATTATGTCAATTTGTCAGGGTCTGGCAAGAAGTACGTGGACACAGGATGGACAAGTTTTTGGATATTCCATTGACAGGCTTCTTACAACAAATCGACGCTTCTTTTCTAGCTTTTTAACATCCCTGGATCCTGGACCTTCAAAACGCTCAAAGAGACATAACAAGACGGACATAAAAGAAGTCCAAAGGTGCCCAAGAACGGAGGCAGGTCGACCATTTGGTGGATTGGTCAGAGGCAATGACTTATACCATATCCATCCGAACAAAAATACATGCAGTAGATAGCTCGTGAATAGTTTCAAAGTCCAACAATAATGTGGGCAATCCGAAATGCTCCACATTTTTTTTTATATACATCTACTTGAGGGTGACTAGATTCGGTCTTTACCAAATGTATTGTGTGGTTCCGGGTACCACACTTTCACCACTGTTCCCTTCCATAAGCTCTCCCACGGTTTCTTGATGCCAATAGTCATAGACGGCATCAGGAAGCCTTGTTGGTCCGGCACTCCAGGCTCGGAAGAGGGGCACGGACATCAAGCGCGATCCAGGCCCAAGTGGGTCATGTCCACATGTCCTGGGTGTCCACCGACTGGGACACCGCAGTGGAGACTCCAACGAGAGGACACCTGCAGAGAGGACATCCGGTGGCATCGGAATCCTTCTGGATTCCGAACCCGCTTGGAGGTTTTGGAGGTTCCATGGTCCATGTAGTCCCGGGATTCAGCATTGGCTCCCTTAAAAGGGCAACCAGTGGTTTGGAAAACGAGCGGACACCAGACAGCGCAGCGGATCCGATCTGATCAGAATGGCTTTACATCTCCGAAGGCTGATGATCGCAGGTTCCACTGCCCGTTTGGTTTCGTGGCTTGGACAGAGAAGTCACGCAGGACTCGCGCTAGACATCAAGAGTCGCCCCATGATGCAAAACACTGGTTTGACCCACAGACACCTTGGGGTAAACCAACCATCGAAGGAGTCGCCAATGAATGAACTACCCAGACATACCCGTGCTATTTATAGATATATAGTAATGTAATACTTATATAATTTATATATAGGCTTCCATTGGACACCCTGCGGTCTTGGGAACATTCACAAGTAGCCTATTGAATTCTGGCGTCTGTGCCCAGGTCGTGGTGAAGCATGGTGACCAGAGGGCTTTTTGATGCTTTTTGTTTGCACGCCCAATCACCCTGCAGTATGCGAACGGGGCCGATTTCCGGGAATCTTCTTCACTCCAAGGCGCTTTTGGTTTCGACCTCGACCGGACCGGGGTGACCACCGGACGCGTCGCGACCTTCGGATTCGAGGCCTGAAGGAAAGCAACGATTTTGAGGCGACCAGGGTGACCAGGGCGACCAGCGACCCGAAGTTGCAACCAAGTCTATGAAGCTCAAACGCGGTGACACATTGAATGACAAGTAGATACTCAGTAGTTCACTAACAAGGCTCAGGTACACCAAAGATCGACTTTCTTGGGATTTCTCGGGGATGAATTTCTGGTGGAGCTCAGTCATGTTGTTTCATGCTGTTTCGCTTTAGGATGTGTTGGACTTCCAGATAGACCATACGGACGGGAACAATTCAGGCTCAGGACTCCGGACAGTGATTTGGGGTGCTTGACGATGGATGTTAATTAACAGAAACCTTTTCTTCTAAAGGCTGGAATCTAGACATGCTTTGAGGGTCCAGGTGTATGTGAGGAGGGCACTTTCTCATGGAGCAATCTGCAGTTTGACTCGGTCCATGGTGACTTTGCATTGCATTCCAACTGAGGGGTTCAGGCCAATTGTAACTGGTTCCCATGTCTCACTCAGGAACACGAAGGAAATGCATTGGGCTCCCGATCGGTGCATGCATCGATCGGTTTGGGGGGTCTCATGACCTGCAGATGGGGAAATAGTTTTTGGGGTATGGGTCTTGGGGTTTGAGCGATGGTCTCGCCTGGCTCCAGATCCCGCAGACCCCGCATCCCCTGGAGGCCCTGGCCATGCACCCACCTGGCTAAGCGCATGAGTAGCGGATACCACCGATGGACCAATCGACTCATAGGATTTGATCGGCTTGTAGAGGTAAACCACACAAGGGTTGAACTGTGTTGAACTCATCACTTGCTCCCCCCAAACCTCATCACTTGCGGCCCAACATTCGAAGTTCCGCAAGCTTTTCAGATGTTCTAAGCTCTTCCATGTTCTTTCCCAAGCTGTTCGCATCTCAGTTCACACTCGGCTCGATACTCTCGGCTCGGCTCGAGGTGGCCCTGCGCCGTGCACAAGCCGCAGCGGGCTCCATCGACTTTGGGAACGTGGTGACATGGGTGGCCCACCGTCGTCGACGTGGGCGGACGTGGGACGTGGCTCAAGGAAAAGAAGACATGCAGACATGAGTTACTATAGTTGTCCGGATCACGAGTGTTTTTCTTTTTTTTCCGGGAACCTACACTGATTGTAAGGGCCGAATGTATCAAGGAATATGACAACTTACCAGACGGGGGATGCTTTAGGCAATCTTTTGGTGGAGTTTTCTCAAGGCTTGTGGGTACTCGTTGGGCCACTGGGCTTGGTCGCCGCAACGGGCGGGAATGCTCAGGACATGGAATGGCGTCCGTGGGTGCTGCCCGTAGCCACGTCTGAAGCGTTGGATCTTGCTTGTAGAAGAAACAGCCCCAGCAGAATGCTTAACACTTGTCAGGTTCATCGGCACCAGATATAATACAACACACACTCTAATTAATCGCATCCCATTTGTAGAGGTCTTCGAAACTCTAGCA